GATAGAGCACCAAACTACGGATTTGGGGGTTGAGAGTTCAAGTCTTTCCAAGCATGGGCCTATAACTCAGTTGGTTAGAGTATACGCCTGATAAGTGTAAAGACAGTAGTTCAAATCTACTTAGGCCGTATATCTCTCCGGCCTAGGCCCAGGCTGGGTTGATCATTCATTGATGCAGTTGGTCTGTTCATTCAGGCGGTCGGATTGGACCTTCACTCAGCTGCTGCTTCTCGTGTGTGTCCACCTCCTCCCTCTCTCACCATCTCCGCATGTGCCCTCCTGCTCATGTGTCACAGCAACGTTGGTAGAGTGCGAAGTTCAAAAACGTAAAAAGTTCAGATATGGCATCTTCAGGATGCAATACCCTTGTTGACTGACGGGGATATGCCATCATGTGGCTGTCGTACCCTTGCTTTATCTGCTCTGTTTGACATTGCAACATCCTCAAATTCTATGCATCGCACAAGGAAGGTGGACCTGGAAAAGACCTCTATTGCGGTAGCTCCAAATCCCGATGACACTTTCCTGAGCCATGATAAGAAAATCAGATTGAACAAAATGTCCGTTTTTAGCGCCTTGCAGATGAGCTAGGTGCTTGATTGTCACATTCTAAACATGGCAAACGGATATGCACATGAAAAGCATCAATACAAATGGTGCATGGTACATGGTATGGAAGGAAAACACAACAGTGCAGTGTCATAGGTGGTCAAACAGTTGAAAAATCACCACTCCACAACAGTTATCACAGCATTCATATCCGAAACACATTTATGATTTATTTCATGACACACGATCTCCCCATATCCTCCCCCCATTGCCACCAGGTGCTGACAATTCTTCTCCCAATTCGGAACAGCAGACCAAGGCACTGTGTTGTATATGTTTCATAGTCAAGCTAGGCCATGCAACGGTTAACAATGCTACACTACAGTGTTGAGAAGCATGCTCGACTCCACATGGAAAAAACTCCTCCCCTGTGGCTCTTCATGAAGTGAGGACTTCTTTTAGTCAGTATCATAATGCCTGTTGCAATGCAGCAAACATATGCCTCACACAGGATCTCCTCATATCCTTCCCCCATTAGCGCCAACTCTCAACAATCCTCTTCTCCATCCGGTACTTCAGACCAAGGCAATGCGTTGCATACGATTCATAGTCAAACTCGCATGCCTCACATGAGATCTCCCAGACGAACTTTACAATCCTCACACAGGATCTCCACATATCCTCCCCCTATTAGCACCAGATACCCACAATCTTTTTCCCCAGGCAACCAAGGCACTGGGTTGTATATGCTTCATAGTCAAACTTGGCCATACAACTGTTTAGGATGCTGCAGTACAGTATCCAGAAGTGTGCTGGACTCCAAACTTTAAGTCCTTCCCCGTGACTGCGTGAATTGCGGACTTCATTTTATCAGTTGCATTATTGCATAGATGCATATCGCCTGCTGCACTGCAGCAAACAGATGCCTACCTTGTATGTGCATAGCAACAAAAGCCCTGCAGTGTGCCTACCTTGGAAGTCCATAGCAGCAAACACCCTGCTGTTTGCCTACCCTGTATAACGCTAGTCGAGTAGAGAGTAGATATCGCACACGAGGGCCTCTGTGCAACACTGAGTCTAGCACTGACTAGCAGTGAACATCTAAACATGGATTATGAATCTGCCTAAATACTGCTGTTAGTATCCTTCCCATTGATGGGCACATGGCAGGATGTGGGGAAGAACCATTTCCGAGCACTACGCAAAGGAATGGTCATTGCTGGAAGACTGAAACCGCTTTTCAAGGTTTCTGGGGCATTGCCGATCCGTGGGCCTAAGGCACCCTACGTTATCAACAGGATTACAGTGTGAATGCCTCCAGCTCACCTGAAGCATACTCCTCACTGAGGAAACTGAGGATGCCAACATGATGATGACCATCCTGAATGCAGCGGACTTGTCATACTCTCTTACCAATAATAAGTAGTGAACATACATACATATATGCATACATACATACCTAGCCACCGTATTATAGAGGGCCCGCATGCCATATAGATCCGACAGCATGCCAGATGGCCCTCATACACGAGTAAATGCCATGGAGAAAGGCCAGTGAGGTCTATTTGCGTGAATCACCACAATCAGTCACCAACATCTGTATGCAATTATGGTCCATATCATAAAGAAGCTCACGTGAATCCCATATCTCCTCAGTATACCGGCAGCGTGCTCTGCTTCTTCCCTGGACGCCTGGGGAATGCTTTGAATTCGGGGTTGTCGGGGATGATAGGGCAATTGTTCGAGAAAATTGATCAGCACCTCCCGATTTCTGAGTCGTATACTCAGGTTTCTTCGTGCCATTTCCACATCTCCAAAACTGGGATTCGAGCGTGGGAAGTCTACCCCCACAATTGGAATGCCAGACAATTCCAAATCACGGAGAACATCATTTCCATACTCGGCAATCCATGTGGAGGAGGTGGTGCTTGTTGCAATTACCACAAAGTTTGTCTCTAATGTCTCAAAAAAATACTTAAAGAGCTTGGCACAGCTCTTATCAAGTTCATTAATTCTGCCTGCCCTGACCACAAAACAAAAGTAATCAATGGATGTTTTCATGGAGGTGAGGTAACTGAGGATTTCAACGCCAAGCATGGCTGGCGACAGTGCAGTGGCATCTCCGTGCAGTGTTTCTCCTAGCTGTTTGGTGAAGCCTCCCAGACCAACGGTGTCGTACACAATCCACCTGTGAGTCTCCCCTTTCTGCACACGCAGTGTTCCCGGACGAGGACCGTCCTCCACATGGAAGACATTTTCATGAATCCCATTTCTACAATCACCTTGTATGAGCATGTTGGCAATCGTGGACTTCCCGACCCCAGCCGGTCCGAACAGCACGACCACTGCCTTCTTGCATAAGATTGGCCAACGGGCCTCAAAACGAAGTCCTTCAAGGAAGCCCCTCAATTTGAAGGAGACATCACGCCACACTTGCTTAGTGTGTGGCAAGTTGGAAGAGCCATCACTGTGACTGTGGAGGGTCTCACCTTGACTGTCAGGACACTTGCCTCGACTGTTGACTGGCATCCTCTTGGTGGACTGTTGAATGTCAGGCACGGCAAACATCGGAACCCCTCTCCATCTAAGACGATCTGCCAACGACATCTCTTGCATGAACAACCAGTCTTCTCTGGCCCCATTCACGATCACAACGAAGTTTTTCTCAACACCCTTCATCATCATCATCGCTGTGGATGCCACCTGTATGTCACTATTTGAGGGAAACACCTTTGACTCGTGGCACCACAGCACAAGACAAATGTGTGTCAACGACAGCGGATTTTCCCTGAGATAGCTCTTGATCCTCGCTGCCGACGATGGCTGCAAGTGGTCCTGCTGCGACGATGATGTTGCACCAACGTTTCCCCCTTCAATGCCGATAGTATCCAGCACAACCCAATCCCTGTGTCTCCGTACTGTTACAGCATCCTTGGCTTCTTCATCTGCCACTTGGTACTGGCTGGGTGAATCCCACAGGTTCTGCAGGATGAGATTCGCAACAGTGGTTTTGCCGGAACCTCTGCTGCCCAACAGGAGAACGACCCTCTTTGGGTTGTTCCGACGATCTTCCATGCCCAAGCATGTGCCTCCGGCCTGAGGTTTTATGGCCGGTGTTATGATCGGTTTTATGATGTCTTCAAGCCCCATCTTGAGATGACTTTCCAGGAGCACGTACTTTGAAGGAAGATCTTACTGAAAGATCAAGATTGGAACCTCTCTCTATGTTAAAGAGAGAAAAACAGCAATACCCCTAAGTGCACACAGGGAGGGCAGTGGCGTCTAATGTGGGCATTATCAACTTGTCAACGCAGTAGTTTCGACACACAGTGGCTGTGCATCCACAGACAGTCCTGCAGAAAAAAAACAAGTTCAAGACAAAGGACATTCGAAATGTCCAGAGTTAGGCACTTGGTACGTTCTCCAAAAGAATGACCACAACCCAGATTCACAGACATCATAATTGAACAAGTAAGCATAATTGCAACAGCCTTGACTTGTGATCTTCCCATGTGCTGTTTCGTGATAATGTAATGACCTACAAAAACACAGACCGAGAACACTGCTGATTTCTGATGAGCCTTGCTGAGATTCCCACGTTTTGCTGAGATTTCTAAGCCTGAGTACTCACGAAATGGCACGCAGGGCATAATCAGCCTCGGCATCGATAGCTGGGCCAAGTACTCGTGGTTTAAGGGGGAGGAGCGTGAGTGAGTATTTATTGTAATCCTTTCCCGGACTGATCCTCCCCAGAATGGACAAGGAGCAGGAACCATAAGGTCCCGTTTGAAAAAAAGAAAAGAAAAAAAAGAATCAAGGGGAAGGATAAGTTTTCAGTAGCAGCATCTCAAAGGGCTCGAAGCTATAAAGGAGGGAGTGCAAGGCATTAGGGCCTCCGTAGACCCAAACGAGCCGTGGAGGATTAATGTTATTGGTTAGAGCCTAGACCCTACGCCCGACAGTTGGTATAGCAGCATGGGGTGGTGGTCGACTCAGAAAGCAGCAAGGCCTTCGAGGTCAGTTTTTGAAAAGTCCCATACAGACGAGCTACGTGACCAGGTCCAGGATAAAGTGCATGACGGCGCGATGTAGCCTGGATTCTACTGGCCAATGGGAGGGCTGCATAGACAGCACCCACACCACATAGTTGGGCTGCTGTAATCAATTTGGTCTCAGGCCGCTATCTAATCAGGGCCTAGGTGCAGATATTGGGACAGGAAGCGAAGCTAACACGCATGCAGCAGGGCAGCCCCACCAGTCCAGACACTTTCTACAAAAGAAAGTGCCACTATCCAGTTCAGACACTTTCTAGTCGAAGGCTCATGCGGTAGCACTACCATTTCGCATGATGACCAAGGCAGAGCGTTGGCTCGAAGGAGCGCACACGGGTGCTAGGTGCGAGGCTGTTGGGTGCAACTAGGAGATCGGCAGCTATAACCGGCCTGCTCGATCTGGATGTCTGTGAGGTTGGGGATTCCTTACGCATGGTGGTAGCCTATGAGGGGACATACAGGGAGTGGGCATGAGAGAGAAAGGAGGATGTACCTGTTGTGTCGTGGGAATCTGCATGGGGGACATCTTCATGTGCATCAATTCTTCTGCTGAAGTTCTTCCAGTTGCATCATCGTAGCGTAGGCTAGGATAGGTATCGTGAGTCTGAATTAGCGCCAGACGTAAATTGGTAGAGCAACATCCGTTACTTCGTTAATGGTAGTGATGCAAGGGCTGACATTGACAATTCGATTAATTGCTTTGCTCTTATTCGGTGTGCACTTGTACAATACGCTTCCTGGGCGACACAAAACCATCTGGTTTTCAATATGATGATGAAATTGCGAGTTTTGCCATTCACTCTCGCTCACTTTCCTTGCAATACAACAATGGCTGCAGAAAAACAGCACCAACAACTGCTGGGAAACAGACGCACCAGCTCCCACAGTAGCTGCAAACAAACTGCAGCAACTAGTGCAACAATAGCTGCAAAAAAACAGCAGTAACGACAACTGGGGAACAGTTGCGGCAGCAGCACCAGTAACTGCAAACAAACTGCACGAACGTCTGCAGCACTAGCTGTAGAGAAAAAGCAGCAACAACTGCTGGGAAGCTGCTGCTGCAGTGCTGCATCAGCTGCAAACAAACTGCAGCGATAGCTGCGGAGAAACAGCTGCAGCAGTAGCTGCAAACAAACTGCAGCAGCTACTGCAGCAATAGCTGCAGAGAAACAGCCGTAGTAGTATCAGCATCTGTTCGTAACAGCAGTAGCAGCTGCTGCAGCTCAACAGCAACTGCAGCAGTGGCTGCATAACTTCATAGTAGCAGTTTCTGCAGCAGCAGGAGCGGCTGCCATAGTAGCAGGCAGAAACAGTTGCTGTAGAAATCTTAACTGTAGCTACAGCTGCAACAAATGCTGCAGAATATCTCAATAGCTGCAGTTGCAGCAAAAGCTGAAGAAAAATTCAACAGTAGCTGCAGCTGTAGCAAACAGTCAGCAGCAAAGGCAATAGTAGCTGCAGCAACAGATACAGTAGCAGGTGTAGCAATCAGAAGGGGTGGTTGTGGCAGCAACTCCGGCATCTGCTGCAACAGTTCAATAGTAACTGCAGCAAAGGCTGCAGCACAGCGACAGTCCCCTCTGGACGAGATCTAAAGGTTGAGGATGGAAACAATCCTCTTTTATGTCAATGGTCATCAGTGAACAGATGGCCTATTAAAAAATCTCCCCGAATCCTATCATGAACTCTCAACCAAATGATCAGTCCAAACTGGCACCTTAGCCAAAAGACATGCACAAACAAAATGTACGTGAACCAGTACAAACAGAATAAAAAAGGGCAATCCTGCAAAATGAGGCAGAATATATAAAACTTCCAAATAGTTTAATCCAAACAAGAAGGCATTGAGGTACTCATTCAGGTCGTTGTGGTCCAGCACACGCAGCCGTGTGAGATTATGTACACGCCAGCGCGCGCAGACGTGTGCCCACATGTGCGTTGCTAGGCGGGCTGTAACAGGCGCGAGGCTGAGGGAGACAAGGAGAGCCGAGGGAGAGGAGAGAGAGAGGGACAGAGTGAGAGCACACACACACACTCACTCACTCAACACGCATGAGGGACGGACGCAGACACAGTGGCAAGGACACAAAGTCGAAGTCTTGGATTCCGAATGTCGAAACAGGAGCAAGTCACAATTAGTACGAGTACAGCAGCTGAAAACTGGTACGAGACTGGGTCCCCGTACTGTACGGGGGACCGGTATAAGTACCGGGTGTCCGGTACAGTACCGGGGGCAGATCTGCAAAAGCCCCGGGGGCAGAACTGAAAAGTGCGGTATTTGAAAGTGGCGCCCGAATTGCAGCATGGCGCCAGTTGTCCAAAATCCGATGGTACCAAAGGAGGGGTTTGGAAAAAGGGTGCCAGGCCGAAAACGGGAAGCAGCAGAAACAGCAAAAAGATGGACCAGGGATCGAGCCCTGGCGGAGTCCGTAACACGGGCCGTCACTTTATGTGTGCTTATTAGTGATTGGACACATGGCTTTTCTGTGAGGCGATCTTCATCAGCCACAGCCATGAAAGGCTCAGTGTTGCTGGCGCTCTCTCCCTCTACCATAGCTGGCGAGGGAGTAGAATCAACCAATGTGGGGGAGGCTACGTGGCAACAGCAAGGTCACGCGCCGACCTCCCATTCATTGGAGGGGCGTATGCAGAGGAAGAATGAAGGGCGTTTGTCGACGGGTATTGAAGTGAAGCAGATTTCTCAATAACGACATCCGGAGTACAGAGGTTGAAATATTATGTTAATTGAAGAAGCTGGCTTATTGACATGCAATAATGCACATTATCATCATCTAATGTGAGCAATTGAAGAACGGGAGGGCCACAATGCTCTTGAGATGGGTTTGATTAGGAAAGAACCTCCCATCCTTTTTTATCCTTTCTGCACCTTTTTCACTTGAAAAATATCTCCCCTCCTTATTTCCCCGTGGCTTCTTCCCTATCTTCTCCCCCCCCTTCCATCTCTGCTCCTTCTCTACCCCCTCCCTCCGTTCACTATTCAACTCCGTTTTTTTCTTTCTTTTTTTTTTTTTTTTCCTGTTTTTTCTTTCTTTTCGTTTTTTTTCTTTTGATGTTGTTTTAGTGCCCTGCCAACCAGGCAGGGCGGAATCCACGGACAGCTGACACTTCGAAAACAATGGGCCACTCTCACGTGTACTCAAGATTCTGTATCCAGTTGTTTTCACATCACTAGAGATGTTTTTTAATTATTTTTTTCATTATTTTCTGTCCTCCTGTAATGGCCCATTGGAGGGCATACTCTCACATGTGCCCGCAATTCTGTATCCAGCTGCTTTCACATCCAAAGACTCCAAAGAGTTTTTTTTTTTTTTTTTTGATTCTTGGTTGATCCTGGATGTGCTGCCCTTATTACGGAAGCACTGTAACGCCCGTTGCTAGGCACACTCTCACGTGCACCCCGGATTTTGTATCTAGCTGCTTTCGCGTCGCTAATGTTGTTACTTGTACCAGAAAAGAAAGCACAATGGGACCCAGGCTCGGCAAAACTCGGTGCACAGTGACATTCAGGGTCGGTAAAAACAGGATCAGAGGTAGTTGTGGTTAAAAAAAAAAAAAAAAGTTCTCAGAAAAACCTGATAATCATACAAATAACTTTTGCCTGGGAGATATGCTCAAATTCATAAACAAATCGAGTTAAAAATCAAAAACCTAAAATTAAATTACCATTAAAAAAAATACGTTCGACCGAACGTGTTCAGGAGGCGTGCGGCCGAACACCGGAACATGTTCCGACATTCGGAAAAGCTCTGAACATGTTCGGTGTGCTACACAGGTGCCCGGAGTGCAATTGCAAACTGTCTTGCCCCGTAGTGCAATTGTCACTTGTTTTTTTGACTACGCAATAACCCATGTAGTAAGCCTCGTGGAAACTGAGGGCCTCTCCAGGCCACACTCAGGCCCAGGCCAAAACGAGGGAAAAGACCCCGGCAAAAGATTCAGGGCCTGGACGAGGTACAGTTGACAAAAGTCAACTGTCAGAAACCCAAACAGTCAAAGTCAAATTGTATCCAGCCCAGGCCGCCGGTCGGACACACACATTTGTTTGTATGCAGGTACCCAGACAGCATTAGGTCCAAG